ACAGTCTTAGTTGAAAGCTTTGAATATGAAAGGTTTAACTAAGAGTTGACTTATTTGTATATGAGCTTGGATCAGAAATTTTATGATTTGGATAGCTTCGTTGGGTGATTTATGACTTAGGAGTGCGGTCATAATGCATTTTGGATGTCCGTGGAAGGATTTGGCTTAAATTGGCAAAGTTAATATTTTGGCGAATTCCGGTTGATAGGTGAGATTTTTATCCGAGTGTCGGATTGGAATTCCGAGAGTTGTTGTAGCTTTGTTATGTCATTTGTGATGTGTGTGCAAAATTTCAGGTCATTTGGACGTCGTTTGGATGACTTTTTGATCGAATTCGGATTTCGGAAGTTTTGGAGTTCTTAGGCTTGAATCCGAGGGTGATTTGATGTTTTGCTATTGTTTTGAGCATTCCGAAGGTTGTAACAAGTTTGTATTATGTTATGGGGTGTGTTGTCATGTTTGGTCGGGGTCATATTAGTCTCGGATAAGTTTTGGAAGAGTTTTTGGAAGATTTTGCCGTTTTGAGCATAAGCATTTAATGCGCCAAAGATCCATTTTTAGTTCTAGAGATCGAAATTTGATTTCGAGACTTCCAGAATTTTGATAATGAATTATAGGACTGATCTGGAAAGTTTGGTCTAATTTCATCAAGTCGCGATTGGATTTTTGACACAAAACATGAGTTAATTGTTTAACGAGCGAAATGGGTATTGAACTGAGCAAATGAGCTCTGAATTGAGTTTCAACTGAAGGGCTATGTTCGTATTATTATTTGTGACTCATAGGAAAAAGAATCATAGAATTCTGAGTTCGTATGATGGAGTTAGAGCCTTTTTAGTGAAAAGAAAAGCTGCTGCAATTTTCTGGGCAGTTTCTGCATTTTTCGCACGTGTGAACAGTGACCGCACCTGCGTGAACAGTACCCCCGTGAACAGTCGTGAACAGTGTGAACAGTACCAGATAGAATGTTAAGTTCTGGAAAATGGGACGAATCCCAATTTCTATTTTTACCAAATTGGAGCTCGGAGAGAGGCGATTTTTGGGAGATTTTCAGAGAAAACAACGGGGTAAGTGTTTTTAACTTAATTTTGGTTAGATTAACCGAATCTATTACTAGTTTTGGCATTTAATTGTTTATTTTAGTTGGCAAAATTTTGAAAACCCTCTTGGTTTAATTTGAATATTTGAGGGTCGAGTTGATGTCGGATTTTAGTAAAGTTGGTATGGTTGGACTCGTGGTTTGATGAGGTTTCATATTCCCTATTTTTTTTTGGATTCCGAGATGTGGGCCCCATGGACGAATTTTGAGTGCAATTTCGGATTTTTAATGGAAAATGTAGAATTTCATATGGAATTAATTCCTATAATTTTTATTAACTGACTCGAATTATTGTGGCTAGATTCGAGGCAGAGGTCTATTTGTGAGACAAAAGCATCGCGAGCTAGAGGATTAGCCGGTTCAAGGTAAGTAATGATTGTAAATACTGTCCTGAGGGTTTGAAACCCCGAATTATACGTCGTTGTGTTACTTTGAGGTGACTTGCACGCTGGATGACGAGCGTGGGGTAGAGCACCGCTGGGGATTGTGACCTAATCCATCCCGAACGAATATTTTAATGCGTATTTGATAGTTAATTGTTTGACATTATTATATTTTTGGGATGTATGCCATGTTTGGGGCCTTGTGCCAACTTGTTGAGACCCTTAGGGGCATTTTTACATCTCTCACTCTATTTGTTTGAAAGCATATTCTCAGTCATATTTTACCTGTTTATTGCTCAAATCTGGCTTTATCACTATATTCTTAACATGTGGAAATTTTTTTGGGCTGAGTTCCCTGTTTTACTGAGATAGACCGAGGGTCTGATTGTGAGATTGATGACTAAGATAGACTGAGAGTCTGATGGTGAGGTTAATGACTGAGTGAGGCCGAGGGCCTAGTTGTGAGGATTATATATCTATGGATCGGGCTGCACGCCGCAGCAATGTATATATATATATATATATGTATATGGATCGGGCTGCACGCCGCAACGATAGTTATATGGATCGCGCTGCGCGCCGCAGCAATATAGCGCTTGGGCTATAGGAGCCCCTCCGGAGTCTTCACACCCCCAATGAGCGCAATCGACTATTTATATGGATCGGGCTGCACGCCGCAGTGGTTACTTTGATTTCAGTTATTGTGAGAGATATACGGATCGGGCTGCATGCCGCAACGATTTCTATATTGTACCAATTGAGCGAGAATGCTGAGTGCGAGTACTGATTGGTAAGAGTTGAGTCACGAGTGACAGAGAGGTTAGCCCGAGGGGTGATAGATATATACATGCATATGAGTGATGTTTTTGCCTGAGAGGCCTGTTTATGGACTTATTGATTTCACTCCTCTTTAAAGTGAATTTCTATTGAATATATTGATTTATCGACTGTTTTCACTCATCTTTATATTGAGCCTTTGTCGGAAAGTTGAACAAATGTTTTAAAACAACTTTTATTTAAACTGGGGTTTATGAGATGTTCAGAAATTAATCACTGATTTAGCATTGGTTATTTCCACTGAGATTTTTAAGTTATGAAGTGTTTATGATTACTGTTTTGCCCGATGGGCTGTTTTAAAAACTATGTTTTCCCTGAGGGGCCGATTATGGCTTTAATCTCTCTTATTATCTTAAATGGTATTGAACCCCTACCGAAACTGCTGGAAAGTATTTCAAAATGATTTTTACTAAAAGCTGGAATTTAAAAGGGAAGATTGACTCGTATTATGATTTGAAAGCCTGTTGTGTTTATTGAGCCTAACGTGAATGTGGATTCATTGTTTCCTACTGGTCAGCCTTTATTTACTTTTATTACTTACTGGGTTGGAGCACTCACATTACTCCCTGCACCTCGTGTGTAGATTCAGGTATATCGGAACCCAGTAATGGGTGTTGATAGCTCAGCCGCGGAGTCATCAGAGTTAGCAAGGTGGCTACATGACGTTCGCAGCACCGCTTCCTTTCCCTCATTGTTGTTACTGTATTTAGTACATTTTTGGACTTTTGTTGTATTCAGAACTTGATAGTTGCTCATGACTAGTGACACCCCGATGATGAGCTGTTATTTTGTTCCGCACTGTTATTCCAGGATTTTATTATGAAACATTGTTTAATTTAAAGACTTAAAAATGACTCTTAATTCTCAAAGGGTTAAGGTGAGTATTGTGTCGGCTGGCCTTGTCTTTACGAGAGGCGCCATCAGGACCGGTCTGGTTTGGGGTCGTGACAACAAGGCTCCCAAATTAGGACACAAATTTACATTCCCGCAATATGTGTTTAAATACTGCAAACATTTCAGAACCCTTAAAGACTTGTTTACCTTTTGTTTTTCTTTATCCCTTATTATTCCCATTCCCTAAGGATGGTTCGCACGTACTGGCATTATTAGCATATCACACTAGATCTAGAGGCCCTCCACCTCCTCCTCCTCCAAGTAATACAAAGAGCAGTGGGAAAGCTAAAATGGATAACTTAAGTGGTATTCGAAAGGAAAATGCGGAGAATGCGAAAACTTCAGATGGTCGGAGTACTCCAGAACCAAATGATTTGGTTTTATGGTTGGAACAAAATATACTGGAGTTACAGGGAGAACTTGACCAGGTCCGCAACTTAGAAAACCTATCCCTCACCCTGAACGTCCGCGATATCAACCAACAAAATACCAAAAACCCAGTACCTCCCCAAAATACACCAAATCAGCATCCATAAAACCCTCCCGCACTGCATCAATATGCATTTCCACCTCAAAATCCCAATCCCTTACCGATACCAACTCCACCACAACACCATCATCAAACAATCCAATACCCACCAACCGCTACCTATCACACTCCTCACACTACAAGAAAAACGACCTTTAAGGAAAAGAAATCTGGTCCCTAAAGATCCAAAATTGGTCCTAATAGAGCCATTACGACCGGAAAAAGCTGGTCGTCACCCATCGTAATAGCCTCCGACACCAAAAGTCAATAACGACTGGTTTAGAAACCCGATCATTAATTATTGTTTGCGACAGACAAAATATCTTGTCGCTAAATACATTTAGAGACAACATATCTCGTCCCAGTAGACGATTAATATATTATGAAAAATATATATTTGTCCGTCGTTAAAAAGTATTAGCGACCAGCCTTCTCCTCCCTAATAGATAATAAAGATATTATGGAAAATATATATTTGCCCGTCCTTAAATGTTTTAGCGACCAACATTCACCAGGATAAGACACAAAAGAACATTATTAGAACTTTCTCAACATGCAGTTTCATGTTGTAAAAATGACGAATATTATCTTGTATACTCTTTTTTCCTTTTAATGATAAGCTAGTCTTACATCCTATTTGATGTCCTAAAGTATACATTCTCAGGTATCTGCATAAGGTCTTATGCATTTTGAAACATATTCTATCCCTATATCTCTCTGATGTACTACGAAGCAAAATCAGTTAGTTTTCATGCATCAGAAATATGATAACGAACAAACAGTCGATGCTGATTAAAAACTATTGACAGACAACAATTCAAATTTGAGAATGAAACGGAAGTGTATCTGAATATGGCAAGGAAAATGACAATGCTAATCGAACACCAACAACAGACAACAATCAAGATTGGCGAAAGAGAGTAAGTGAATCAGAAACCCATGCATTATCCTCAAGAAATTCAACACTAATCTTACTTTCAATACACGTGATTAATAATGTGGTTATGAGCATCCACATATTCGTCAGATATTATTACCTGGACTTACTATTGTTAAAACCTGTAGCCTAATTCCTTATCATATATTTCTCCTTTATTAGTCAATAACTTGATTATAGTTTCCACAACTGCTTGTAATTGATTATAGCCTAATTCATGTGATGAGCTTAATAACAGTTAAGGTTGAGGCCTCAATAATGTCGAGACGAGTAACCCTCAATGCTCAGATTTTCTACTTCCAACTTCGTGAACCCAAGCTGTTATTCCCATCCTTGAGGCTCATTCATTTATAATATTGCAACAAAGATAGAAATAAGATAGAAATGACTATATAAAATTAACAAAAGAAATAATTAAAAAGCAGGGTATACTGTTATTAACTTGATCAGTAGACAAAAGTAGTCATTCAGCTTAGCGATGTCGTAGGCGAGACATGTGATTGTTGAGCAGCGAAAAATTCCCTTATTTTCTTCATTTCTTTCATCCCAAGATATGATCCCGATGATCATTCATGTCAATAGTCTCAAATTTATCCTACAATAATCAAAATATCCATTTGGTTAATGCACTGTTCAAGAAGTAGTTCATTGTGCAAGTTTAAGAAGAAGTTCATTCATAGTCTCAAAATTTGTTTCAGTATCATCACCAAATCGGTAAACTAACATAGGAGTTTCATCTCGAAAGGACTAACATAGTTATCCAAAGAGCACACTGTTCCCTGATGCATGCGCCCACATTTGGCATCTCTGTCCCTATCACTAACTGGAGCATAACTTCTGTCATGGGCTGCTTTCCAGACACGCCCCATGACCCCTTGGCTGCTCCCCATGGCGGCCTAGCAAGCCTCACAATGCCTAGCACCATGGTCGGCCCCATGGTCTTGGCTGCGCCAAGTGACAAGCGCGCATGCGCCTCTGTCGCCCCACCGATGCCTCTCGCCAGCGCCCAAGGGCTGGCCAATGACAACAGCGCCGCGCGCCCTAACAATGCCGCCCGCGCAGATCCTGATGCCTTGCCAGCGCCCAGCTGCAGGCCCATTCCAGCAGTGCCTCGCGCACAGACCCTGATGCCAAACACCAGCGCCCAGCCTCAGGCCAACACAACAAGTGTCGCGCGCGCCCAAAGCAACGCGCGCGCAGAACCTGACCCGCAAGGCAAAGTTGCTGCCATCGGACTTAGTTCTATCTTGTAATAAACTAAGTCCTTTTCGTTGTAATTATAGGCTAGTTTACATCATTTTCATTCAGTGTGCTTCTACAGCTTTATTAGGACTCGTCATGTAATGTTGGTTTATTTTTTTTAAGCATTATTAAGGGGGACCAAACAATCAAACATTTTCAAGCAAGCAATTTTCTGGTGTCTCTCCCCCTCGATACCGCATCTTTTGTAATCAGCATTTTAGTCATCAATAAAATCATCATCATCATTAAAAACCCAGTTCTCTCTCAGCTTCTGCAATTGCTCGTGACATTGGTTTTCCCGCACGGCACTGACAATCTAGTCTAGCGTGCGGAGGGGACCTTATTGGCAGACAACAACCGCACTGACATCGATTGCTTAGCCTTACGTTGCCCTTCCAAAAAATATCAGGAAGGCGTTGCGTAACACTTCACACGCCACATGTACAGAGGTAATTGTGCCCACATTTGGCATCTCTGTCCCTATCACAAACTGGAGCATAACTTCACACGCCACATGTACAGAGGTCATTGTGTATGTCATGTCAATAATATGTCCGCATTCTCTGTCCACATCACTAGAACATGAATTTGGATTGACCCCTAGCATGTTGAATTACTTCTTCTCCTATCAAAATTCTATACTGCCTCCATATGGTTATATACGTTGACAACGATGTCATTACTAGCATAAACAGAAATAATTTGAAAAAACAAACAAACCAACTCTATTTTATATTGCCTTGAAATAAAGTTGCATTTCTATTTTCACAAGGTTTGCAGCACCTCACTGAACAAGCTAAATCACAAATAGAGCATCACGAAAGAGGCATGCTGGACCATATCCAATATTGCTAGGAACAAAAAGAGCATGTCGCAATTGTACCTCAATAGCTGCCCAAATGTGATTCAACTTTTCTTGCTCAATATCATTTCACGATGATACTCCCAGCGGACACATATTGCGGTCACGAACTATTTTGCCCAAGTGCCTCGAAAATAGTTTGTTATTTGTTCCAATCGTTCGATTGTTGTAAAAGGTTACTTTTAGCTTTTGTCCAACTTCAAGTGATGCAACTTCTTTGCACTTGTTCCTACCTCGAACTCTTTTTACCTTTTTAGGATTAGATGAACCTACAGTTGGATAATTTGGTAAAACTATAGCAACAAAATTTAGTTTTACAAATTAATAACACATGGATTCAAAATGTCATACCTGTTTCAACTGTTTGGAAGTTTTTCATAGCTTGATCACTAGATGGAGGCAATAAAATATTGGTCTGCATATGCTCTTTCTTAAGAACCAATGAGTTTTTATCCATTGTTCGCATTTCTTAATTAGAAGACATGGTAAAATTCGATCTTGTGCTTTTAGGAGTTTGTATACGTTGATTAGCATAAACTGCATTCTTATGAAAATATCCCACCTCATTTTCAGAAATCCCTAAAGAGGAGTACAAAGATCTAGGCGTTTACTCCCGTTCCTTCCTTATAGCACCTGGACCCAAGAAATCATATTAGTAAAAAATATGGCATTTAATTATATATGCAATTGATTAACTGATAGCTCAATGATATCAGTATAAATTAGCAACATTCAAGAATCTGCAACTCCAACAAGACAATAGGAATCAAACAAGTCATGATCCAACATACCCAAAATTTATGTGAATCAAAAGGTTGCTTAAGACGAATAAAGGCGAAATTTCTTTGCAGAAATTCTAAGAAAGCAATAACTTGCTGTCAAAATTTTACTTAAATAGTGTTGGTCAAGGTTAAAGGTTGAAGAAACAAAAAGGCATAATATTCTGAAACAGTACCAATCCAAACACACTGCGATTATAGAGTAAATGATCAACCAAACTACTACAATAGGAATCAAATAGCTGAAATTTGAATCAAACAACTGAAAGCTTAAACAAACATGGAAGAAGGAGGTAAACATCGGAGATGAGAATGAAGGAAATTTCTATAACTTCTTGCCTACTTTTTCCTTCCAGTATCTAGTTACTTATACTAACTCCCAGCACCTTCTTGCCCTTCATGTGACTTGCCAGAGTCAGAACAAAATCGGTTAGCTTCTTTTGGCACAGTCCTCACATGCGTGCTCCTTCTTGACAACACTTTCTGGACATCTAGGTTGGCATTTTTCTTGTCCAACTCACCCTCCAGCTCAGTAGGCTCTGGGTGCACAACATTATCCGCCTAACAATAGGTGCCTAACCCTTCCAAACATAAAACTAAAATTCTTATGTGTCTATTTTTTTCCAATTTGTAACTGTACGAATTGCTACATATATCCCAAACCTTTCTCCTCCCTCCATTCATTGATAGCCATTCACCATAATAACTACTATTAACTAGAATAACCAGTCAAATTTAAAAATGCTCTAATAATTGACAAAATAACCATTCATTAGCCACAAATTCTGCAATTACAACTTAAATAAAGTACTCTGTTTTACCAAATACCTACGACAACTACTTTACATCTTGATTCTAGTAGCCAAGTTGCAATTTAGAAGTTTTAACTATAATACAAACCACATAAAATAATATACCAAAAAAGCACTTTCTACAAAATAATTACCAAACCATTTCAGACTGTGGGAAACAGAGATTGCAAAACTCCAAACATTTGACCAAAATATTGAATGACACGTTGAAAATGAACTGTTTTCTCATTTTTTATTTCAGATTTGAAAAAACTTACTTGTTTCACACAGAAGATGAGACACACTTGGGATTCGCAATCAAGGGAGGTCGAAAACTGGGTAGACCTGCGATACACAAGCCAACAAACTCGCAACAAACTCGATTTAAGAAAACAAAATTCTTGAGTCGTGAATAGAGAGACAGACGAGTTCTGTGTATGTTTAAGACACTAGGGCATAACTTTTTGTTTTTGGAAAACATAGAGTTTCTTTTAATTTTTTGGAATTTTTAATTTTAGGATATTAGTTTTGGCGCCTATTTTTTAGAAAATAATATTTTTTTAATATTTTATTATTATATTGGACGGTACTCTCTCCCGCTCATCGCCCATGTTGGTGCCTACTAATATCATTTGGGACCGGTTACTAATTTTTTAGGGACCAGATTTAATACCTTCGCAATAGAATACAAAATTAAGGACCACAATATAATCTCGTCCTAATACATATACTTTTAGAGATAGGATTATTAAATCATCCCTATATCAAAACTCAACCAATGATCACCACTACACCCAAATCGCTGGCACTCACCAAAACAACCCTATATATGTGGAAACCGTACCTCACTCTACTCAACCAATCTCCTATACACCATAATATACTGAGAAAGACCTGCTCATCAAGAATGTGGCTGAGGAACTCAAGAAATTGACAAGTCGAGTTCAGGGTGTCGAAGGAGGCAAAAGGATAAAATGTCTGAATTTTGTGGATCTATGCATACAACCGGACGTGGAACTACTAGAGGGTTACAAACCTCCCAAGTTCGAGATGTTGGATGCAATGAGTGGTCCCAATGTTCATTTGAGAACTTACTGTGACAAGCTCGTAGGGGTCGGAAAAGATGAAAGGATCCGAATGAAGCTCTTCATGAGAAGTCTTACTGGAGATGCCCTGTCCTGGTACATAAGCCAGAACCCTAAGAAGTGGGCCAATTTGGTGAGTATGGCATCAGAATTTATGAACCGATTTAGGTTCAACACGGAGAATGCACCGGATGTCTTCTACATCCAGAATTTAAAGAAGAAGCCAACTGAGACCTTCCATGAGTATGCTACCCAATGGAGGTCAGAAGCAGCCAAGGTCAGACCAGCACTAGAAGAAGAACAAATGAACAAGTTCTTTGTTAGGGCACATGACCCACAATATTATGAAAGGTTAATGATCATTGAAAATCACAAATTCTCCGATATCATCAAACTCGGAGAAAGGATTGAAGAAGGTATCAAAAACAGAATAGTGACAAATTTTGAGGGATTATAGGCCACGAACAAAGCATTGCAATCAGGCGGCATATCAAAGAAGAGAGACATGGGGGGCAGTAATGGTGGCTCAAGGCCCAAAATCTCCACTCACATACCAAACACCTCCACCCATATACCAACCCTCATCTCCCAGATATTCCCAACCAGCCATTGCCTTATCATGCCTATAATTCCCAACCATCTCATTTTCAGTCACCTCCGACTCGCCAAAACTACCCAAGACCCCGACCTAACTTTGATCGTAAACCACATAGACAATACACCGCTATTGTTGAACCTATCGACCAGCTGTATGAAAGGATGAAAGCCGCTGGTTATGTCACTCCTATTCCTACTGTGGAAGTGGAGAACTTATCTCAATGGGTCAACCCTAACAAAACCTATGCATACCATTCCGGTATGCAGAGGCACACCATTGACGAGTTTCGAACATTGAAAGATAAAATCCAGACATGGATTGACAATAAGGTCATACAGGCAAAAGAAGCTACACCCAACATCCGCAACAATCCTCTCCCAAATCATAGGGGCGGTGGGATACATGTGATAGAGATGGATGAAGAATGGGATCCTGAGGGGTCAATAGGGCTTATTCGAGAGGGCGATGACTTTAAACCTGCAGTTACACTCACTTCTATTATAGTATAGACGCAGTCGCCAGTCGAGGTTGAGGTAGCCGTATTGGTTCCATTTGAGGTAGAGGTAGCTCCACCTGCAGCCACACCTATTCCATTTGAGGTAGAAGTGGCAACACCTTTCACAGTGACAGTGTCAACCATACCTCCTTTCAATTCCAAAGCAATAACATGGGATTACGTTGCCGAAGCTAGGCGAAAGAGAAAGGCAAAGATGCAAGAATCTGATGATGCACAAGGAATAATCAGAACTGAAAGGGTCTATACACCTGAACACTTGAGAGGATCGAGTGAGGAGGCCACTACCAAGCAATCTGTAAGTGAAACGGGCCATATGATCTTTGGAGGAAAGTATAGGTGAGGGAATACTCCGTTATTTATCATTTGAACAAAACCCCGCTCAGATATCCATCCTATCACTATTACAAAATTCAGAGGCGCATAAGAATGCTTTGATGAAGGTGTTAAATAAAGGTTACGTACCCAACAATATCACCTGTGGAGAAATGGCCAACATGGTAGGGTAGGTGCTAGAAAGGCATAAGATCACCTTCTACGAGGATGAAATACCGCTTGAAGGGTTGAATCATAACCGAGCATTGCATATCACGGTATAATTTGAAGACAAATTCATTGCCAGAGTCCTGATAGATGGAGGTTCAAACTCAATATTTGTCTGTTGGATACTCTAAAAAGATTTAGCAAAGGTTTCCATGAAATACGGGCAGAAAGTATGAACGTGAAAGCCTTTCATAGGTCTTATAGGGCCACGATTGGGGAGATTAATCTTTGTCTGCAGATGGGGCCAACTTGGTTCGATGTTGAATTCCAAGTGTTTGACATATCAGCTACATACAATCTTCTATTGGGTCGACCTTGGATACATGCCGCTGGAGCTGTGGCTTCCACACTACATCAGGCCGTGAAGTTCGAATGGAACTATCAGTAGGTGATTATTCACGGAGATGGGAGTAACCCCATTTACACCAGTCAAACCATCCCAGTTATCGGGAATAGAAGAAGGCTAGGAGGGGAAACTTATCACCACATCGAACATGTCAATGTCGTTGAGAAAGACAAATAGTGAAGTAGAAAAATAGAAAGCATACTAGCATGGTATGAACCCGACAAAGGGCTTGGGAAGAATCTCCAAGGCATTACTAAGACTATACAGCTGAAACATCATGGTACTACCTTTGGGCTCGGATACCAGTATACATGGAAAGAGTATGATAATTGGTCGCCTCCGTGGCGTGGACCTTATTACCCTCTCGAGCAACCAGTGCCATATCTAGGTCAGACTTTTCACCAGGTTGATATAATATGGGGAACTGCAGAAGAATAAACTTTAGCTGGGCTGAGGAATTTGTTCCTAGAGGACGAGGATATGGATTGCAGTGCGATAATTAAGGAGGAGGAGGAAGAAGGCCTCACCATTTAGACTGTGGAGAAGGGAGCTGTTCTCAGGAACTGGACCGCCACACCATCCCGGGCTTGCCGAGTCCCTGGGTAGCTTGGCATTTAGCCTAATTTATTTTTATAGCCATGCTAGGCATTTTAGATGTTTTCAGTAATTTTATTTTAAATATGCGTTTTGTTTCAAAATAATTGCTCGATTCATCGAGCCGTACTTGTTTTGGATGTTTTCAATTTTTAATCAATGCATTTCTATTTATTATTCATTATTATCTTTCACACTTTTATGTCTACAACATTATTATTACTTTTCCTGATGAACCAGTGACTGTGACATGTAATGAGACAATGCAACATAAGGATAGTGACTCAGAAGAACAGGATGAAATACGTGAGGAAGATGTTAGAGAGGTTGAGAACTTTGAGAATAAGCCTAAGTCCAACCTGGACGAAACCGAAGCAGTAAATTTGGGAGACGCCGAAACCGTCAAGGAAACTCGCATAAGCATTCACTTATCACCGACAGAGAAGGAGGAGTACATTTGTTTCTTGAAGAAGTATGATGACATCTTTGCATGGTCATTTGATGACCTGACCGGTTTGAGCCATCTATAGTGGCTCACAAGTTGCTTACCAATCCAATGTGTCTGCGATGAAGCCGAAACTCAGAAAGTTCAAACCAAATGTGAGCTAAAAATCAAGGAGGAAGTTACTAAGAAAATCAAAGCCAAAGTCCTCAGGGTAGTTGAGTACCCAATCTGGTTAGCCAACATTGTACCAGTTTCGAAGAAAGATGGGAAAGTCAAAGTATGTGTTGACTATTGAGACTTAAATAGAGCAAGTTCCAAGGATGACTTACCCACTGCCAAATATACATATCCTGATCGACAATTGCGCCAAACATGAGCTCTAATCCTTTGTGGATTTCTTTGCGGGTTATCACTAGATTTG